TAAACTTGAAATAAAATTGCTGAAAAATCCAAAAGTTCCTGAAGGAATAAATAAGTCTTTCCTTTTGACACAGAAAACATGCAGCTCACTGATTCAAGTGTTTAATGGCTTCCCCACCACACCCCACACCCCCAAATAATCCTAATTGGTCGTCTACCAGATCATCTGAACAGGTATATTTCTGAGAAGCTATTTCTGCCACTGAACAAATCCATTAACATTTTCTTAGGCTATCTGGGTGGCACAACATGAAAACATGGCACCAATGCCATTCCGTTTTAAATGTGGAAGTTGTTGTTAGCACATGTTGTGGTACGAACGTTTTCACCACAATTAAAAAAGAGTGGGAGAGAAAGATTCTTAAGAAGCAACACAGCCAATCCAAAGGGGGGGGTGGGAAGGATTGGGATAAGTAATAAAGTTCATAAAGAAAATAAATTTACAGGACAACTCATTTACTCTGACAACCTTGAAACATGTGAATGAGAAAAGCTAAAACTTTACCCTTGTCATTTTTTTTTGGTCATTTTTAATCTAACTCCAGAAATGTGAAAATGGTTATTGAATCAGACTTGTGTGTCTGTGCTTGATAGAGGAAGAGAGTAAGAGAGAAAACCCAGACGTGTAAGTGGGCTGGACTTGGACTGCTGTGCTCTGTGGTTTCCTCATGGAGGAAATAAGAAAGATGTTCACCCATAAGGCTCACCCCCGTTAGAGCAAAATCTAAATAGGTGATTTTGAACATATGATGGCGGTCAGGGCAAGGTACCAAAGAAAGTGGTGAACCTTGGGAGGAGCCAGCTTCAGATCACCTTGTTGAGTGTATCTTCTCAATGTTTTGAATGGCCAACATACTTGGGATAACTTCTAAAACTTGGGATAACTTCTAAAGCTTAGGAGTTGCAGTTAAAAAAAAAAAAAAATTCACTCAGGTCCACAACTACTGTGTTTGGCCAGTCGAAAGTGCTGTGTTAGGGAATTATGGGAAGAAGTCAGAAGCTTCTGTCACTCAAGGAGGCTAATGAGATCACCGTGGCATCACTCTCCCACCAGCAGAGAAAAGGAAACATCATGATTATTGACGCAAGTGAAGAGAAGGAGTTATGAAAAAGTGTCTCCATCATACGTGATGTGTTCAGCTCTGTAAATAACATTTATCTCTGAAGAGATAGCATTTAATCTCCACCAAGTTTATATGCAGTACTCTGCTGCCCAAAATTCTGATCTTCTATGGAGGTTGAGAATATTCTCAAAGAGAAGTGAAGTAAACTCTCATAAACAGTGCTGCTCACATATCATAATAGTTGTCAGAGAGATGCCTTAAGAAAACAGTACTTTTTATTTTATAAAGTAAGAGCACCAAAATAAATGTTGCTTTATCATGATTTTGTTGTTGCTGCTACACCTACAAATAAACAAAAGCAATCATCTTCCTGTGTTTGGATACATGCATCATTTGGGGTCTTACACGTCACTGCTTTGCCCATTACATTGGCTTAAAACCATTTTTTCTCACTAGAAATATGTGTGGTTGCTGAAAAACAGTAAAATATTGTATCTAACATTGGATGCATTTTGGATTTGGGAGACCATCAGCGTTGATAATGATAGTTATTATCATTCTTACTGATCCCAAATTTCATGAAGAAATGTTTGCGGTATATACCCCCCAACACCAAAAAAAAAGGAACCCCAGGATTATTATGGATGGTCCCACTATACCTTAACTATTTTATTGATAAAATGATTTTTAAGGGAAGATTAAATCATAACTTTCAGTTAACAATTTAGTTCTTTCGGACCAATGAACACCTCTGATTCAGAGACCCATCCAAGGACAGCAGTGACTTAATGATTAGGAGCCACATCAATACTTTCTATCCTGCTGATTACTGCATAATTACAGACCCACTCTCCAAAAGGGCTCCAAGCACATACCAGAATCCCTCCCTGAAAGAGCAAACACTGAAAACTGACATCAAAATTGCTGTCCCCTGGCATATAGTGAGACTGATGCAATGGACTGCTTTCCCCATTGCACTTCTTGTCCTGTGTGGCCCCTTCCTAGCTGTCACAGATGTTTCTATTTGCTTAAAAACTCAACTGCAGTCTGGGGACTTCCTTCAGCATCCTTCAAATTATCTCTGACTCTGGTCAGTGAAAACTCTAAATGTTTACTTCTTTAAGAACCACACAGGAAAGGGTTAACAGGATCGCTCCAATGTCTACTTGTCCAGAAGTGGCAGGAAAAGGAAGTGCTTGAATCTGAAGTCACAGGATGAAAGCTCTGCGGGACGACCAATTGATAAGCTCAGTAAGCTCTAAAGCACTGTACATTTAACTGTCAGCATAGAAA